GATCGAGGAGATTAAAGCGAAGTTTATAAGCTGTATCGTGATCAATGATATGCCTTCCTTTGAAATTTTTAGGACGGAAGTATTYCCTAAGTCCGGTACATAACATTGTTGAACTGTTACCACTGAATAAGGATCAGCATGATATAGATAAATAAATGGGATTGAACAGAGGCATATCTACAGAGTAGCTTTTCATCCACTGACCTTCAATTGGAGTTTAAAAGTGGGTGGCGAATGATCAGAGCGAAATAAAGTTGTATTATGTGCTGAAGCTGYAGGTGTTTCATAGTAATCTTTTATTTCAATCGTTATTTTCACTTCTGAATTATTTTGGCTTCATTAATTTCTCGCAAAATAAAACAGCTTTATTATATCTAATATCATCTATACACAGCTATTTCAAAAAAGGTTGAATACTGAATACTGCATACTGAATAGTGTATTCCAACAGTGTTCCAAGACCAAAGGGCATTGTGGGTCTCGTTAATTTGAAATAAAAAGTAGAGTACCATGGGTGGCGTTCGCGGCTAACGCGCCGTCTTTCACCGCTGTGAGTCTAACGGGTCGGGTCACTGGTTCGAGCCCTGCGTTCGCCACATGTGAATTGAGTTTGTTTGATGTGTTGTTCTCTCCTATGCTACRAGGGTTTTTTCCGGGTTCTCCGGTTCCTCCCTCCGTAAAAATCAACACGTGAGTTGAGGTTGTGTGCATAGAACACTGATTGAATGATGTGGTAGTGTGTGTCAGCGAAAAGTGTCCCCAATTAGTGCGAAARCGCTAGAACGACTAGACACTTCAATAAAAGGGATTTATTTATTTTATATACAACAATTTACTCTCTACATGTAGGTAGTATATTGTTTCAGATGGATTACACTAAAAATAGAATAAATAATAATTATTAATCCTTCTTTAGACAATGTCACTATGAACCACAATATATACATCTATAGTTCAATAAACGTTGTCAACGCCAAAGGCGAAAAGCGATAGGTACGTCAYTCCGACATGGAAATGGTTTCGTTTATAAAACAAATAACATCGAATCAGTCCAAACACTAAGGTCCATGACGAGAATAAAAAGCAAAAGCCAAGTTATTCCAACTATTCTTGGATCTCCTATTGCCTTTGGCGATGACAACGGTTATTGAAATAGATGTATTTATACCTGGTAATAACGATAACTACTAGTTAGCGCGCGGCTAGTTTTGCCTTTGCACGCGCCGGTGAAGTTTTTTCTTTGCTGTCGTTGTTTTATCTATTTTTACAACGAACAAGTTTTTAAAATAAAATTGAAGATTAGTATACTCGAMGTTCGGCCCTGTCCACACGTATCCGGAAATTTTTGTATCCGCAATTTTTTTTATTTTTATTTTTTTGCGGAYACGAAAATGTTTGCGTCCACACGCAACGTATTCGAATCGTTTTCACCGTCCACACCTGTCCGTTTTCGTAGAATTTGCGGATACGGTCACAAAAATTTGAGGGCACGTGTGGACGCAACCCGTATCCGTAAAMAAAAAAATTTGCGGATACAAAAATTTSCGGATACGTGTGGACGGGGCCTGAAAGTAAAGCAAAGTAATAATTTSAATACATAAAGTTCTGTAAATCCTCATGGGAGTCCTCGTAAATGTTCAACTAATTGAATACATTACGAGGATAACTGGTTCTTCAGCTACTTTAATTGATAATATCTATCTGAATACATTTGATCAAGTTGAGAACTATTCATCCTSGGATTCTTTGWATAGGAAATCGCATGGTTTCGAGTGCACATTGGAATAAATTTGCACGAGCGGGTTTTCAAAAAGTTCAAAATTGCACGAGCCCTTTCTTGTTAATAATATAGATGCAAAAATTTCGAACCAAAGTTAGATAGAAAAAAGACGTGTTGGAAAAAATGCACGAAGCGAAGAACTCGTTTGTTTTGTCAAAAATCAGTTTACAAAACAATATTTTATTT